GCAGGCGCAACGGGAAGGTGCAGCATTGCCGCATTCACTCCCGCCAGGATGCCGGCAGCCCTAAGTTCTTCCTGACTGACAACCTGGTGTTTGATAGTCTGTACGACCTCATCACCCACTACCAGCAAGTGCCACTGCGGTGCAACGAGTTCGAGATGAGACTGACGGAGCCTGTGCCACAAACAAACGCCCATGAGAGCAAAGAGTAAGAGGGAGGGATTGGCACATGGGTTGGAACCAGATGTCTGTCCTGGAAACTGCTGGGAGATCCATCCAGGCCAGCTTCTTTGCAGTGTTTCTTTCTCCTCCCCCACTTCAGCCCTGTGGGCTGAATCCCCCCTGCTCTTCCACAGAGCACTATAAGCCTTCAGCATTAGCCTCTTCAGGAAGCAGGCATAGTGGCAGGTGGCTGGCAGGCTCCCTTGTCCTGCCATCCCTTCCCCTGCCATGCTGGGCACTGGGTCTGCAGAGGAGCCTGTGCTGGTGGGTTTGATTGCATTGCTCTGGGAGATGGAACTAGCCAGGCATTGATGCTGGAGCTCACCTTTGGGCAAAGCCTTCAGCCAGACTGGTGCTCTTACCCACAGGTGGTACCATGCCAATCTCACCCGGGCCCAGGCAGAGCACATGCTGATGAGGGTGCCACGAGATGGAGCCTTCTTGGTGCGCAAGAGGAGTGAACCCAATTCCTACGCTATCTCCTTCCGGTAAGCGGCTCTGGCAGAACGCATGAATAGGAGAGAGTCCTGAGGGAAGGGATTTCCGTTGTGTCCAGGTGTCGATGCCCAGGAGGGCGGGTGGGGGTTGGGGTGATATGGATCTAGTTTGGGAATCGATGTGAAGAGCCATCACTTTCTTTTGAGGCCTCTCTGGGTTGCCCCTTTTAATTTTTACATGGGTGTGTGATATTTGCTCATTGTGCACTTGCATACTTTAAATCATCAACTGTTTGGCTGGAAATGCCTCCCAATGCAAAGCTGAGTCCACCCAGAGTTGTTGGTCTCTGATGCATATTGCAATGAAAGTTTCCCTGTGTGGAAGCTCCTGATCCCTGTATCTCTGCTGGCCAGCATGATTCAGACAAAAGGTGGGTTTTATGGAAACACATGGGAGGCACCAGATCCAGCCTTTCCACCTGACAAGTGTTAGGTGGTTTCATGGAAGCTTGCTTTAGCTGCACCCTTTAAGATGCACCCCTGAGGCTTGCATATTGTCTTCCCTTGGCCTCTTCCCCACCAAGAGCCCACGTGAACCCTCCCAGTGCTTTGGATGTTTTGGAGTTCAGAGCTCTCCTGTAACTCGGGGCTAATCAGTTCTGGGGATTTGACTCTGGGCTCCCTTGTGATTCTTGGTGTGACCCAAGATGGCTTTACCTTTTCTCAGCATCTCAGTGTCCTGCTAATATTCTGTGTCCAACCACTCTGCTTGGTAGCCAGGAAGATCACAAACCTGGAGGGAATGTGTTGGGGTGAGGTGAGGTTTTGTTCGTTATCTGAACGGCCTTTTGGAGAGAGAGGGAGCATCTCCATCATTCACCATGCAGCATTTCTGCTTGTCTCTATGTACCAGGGCGGAAGGGAAAATCAAGCACTGCCGAGTGCAGCAAGAGGGCCAGACTGTGCTGCTGGGAAACTCAGAGTTTGATAGCCTGGTGGACCTGATCAGCTACTATGAGAAGCACCCGCTCTACCGCAAAATGAAGCTGAGGTACCCGATCAACGAGGAGACCCTGGAGAAGATCGGGACAGCAGTGAGTTTGGGTCAGGCATGGGGGAGCTGATCAAGGGGCAGTCCAACAAATTCAGAAGAGTCCAGGTTGAATAAGAGTTTGGCTGGACTGGTCTCTTCCGGGGCTGTTTGGTTGTCCCTTGCTTATAGGTTGAATGAGTGTGTTGCATGAAATACCAGGTTAGCAAAAGGAGCTGTGATTTCCTGCCTCATGTTTGACCTGTCCCAGTCGACTTCACAGGGATCCTTACCCCAGGCCTCCAGGGAGCAAGGGCTGTGTCTAGTTAGATACAATCTGTATTTCCTGCCTGTTGAGCCTGTCTGAGAACCTGTCTTTGACTGCTACCCGACAAAGGGAACTGCTCCCCTTGCAGTAAATCGCATGACTCTAGCTGACATATTATGTACTTTTGTGTTGCAGGAGCCAGACTATGGAGCCCTTTATGAAGGGCGCCACCCGGGATTCTACGTGGAGGCCAATCCCATGCCAACGTTCAAGGTATCCCCTTGCTGTTCCATATTTCTACACTGATGCTAATGACTTGCAGATCCAAAATCCCCTTTCCAGTTCTGCCCAAAGTACTTTCTCCTGCACTAACACCCCATACAGCTCTGCCCCAGGCCACCACTGACTATCTCCTGAGGAGAAGTGGTGGATTTCCGGGTGCCTGGAAGGAAGGCAAGGCTGAGTGAGGTCTGGTTGCTGATCTTGCAGTGAGTTTTTGAGAGTGGAGGTGATGAGTTGCTTGTTCCTCCCCTGCCCATCACTAGTTTGCAAGCTAAGTTCTGTTTTCAGTCTCTCTTACTGCATTATACAGCAGAGAAATCCCACTGAGCATGCTTCCCTGTGGCATTGTGTGCAGCTCATCTGTTTTGTTCTGTGCGCTTTGTCAAGATAATGTGATAACCCCCAAAGAAGTGTTGTCTGACGGTTCCCCTGCAGAGCTGGCTCCAGGGATCACTGCTTTGTGGGCTATTCCTGTGTTTCAGAAGGCTGCCTTCGGGAGCTTGGGGAGTACACTTCAGTCCCCACCAGTTAACTCCCAAGGGAGGGAAGAATCTGCTTTTTCCTCTGGGGATCAGAACATCATGCATGGGTTAAAAACAGTCTGTTCCAGCTCCCTCTGCTGGCACATTCTCTGAGAGAGTGACTCCAAACATTCCTCTCTGAAGTTTCTACACATTTCTTTTCACTAGGTTCTTAGCAGTAGGATAAAGACAATGAAAAGCCTATTACAGTTTTGATTCTTTTTTTTTTTTTTTTTAAAGTTATGCACACAAACTCATGCCTTATTTGCAACAGCCAACTCAGAGCCTGTGTATAGAAAAAGCTGTTTGCACATCTGAGCAACTGAATGCAAAAAAATTCTTGTGTACATGTGTCTCCTGTGGCATGGGAGGCTGCAAGCCAAGTGTGTGCAACTGCCCATGTGCTGTTTAGAAAACCAACGTTGTGTTAGGACTCTGCTCTCTTTCCATATGCCTTGCAGCCCCTCTGAAAGCTGGTCTTCAGTCTTTGTTCTGAGTAAATTTTGAGGTATAGGCAGTGGTGTTTTATTTTTGTTAGCCATAAAGTTGAAATGCAAAATCAGACCAGGAAGATGACTACTAAGTGAGTCCATTCTTGTATTTAAGATGACTGCTATGTTGGCTGATGCTAGGGATTGAACCCTGGACTTCTGGAGCTGCACACCTCAGCTTTTAGAGTGAACTAAGGCTCCCAGCCTCTGTGGACAGACATGGGTACTCGTTCATCTGGGGGTTATGTATTTTCCTATGTTAGTTGCTAGTTCTGATGAAGCTAATGATTGGTGCCTGTCAGTGAGCCAGTCCTGCTGCTATGAATCTCAGGCTCTGTGCACCCCTTCAGTCATACCTGCTATGGCAGTATGCAGTATAGAGGTAGTTTTTCAGCCTTTAGTCCCCTCTCATCTTCTCGCTCTATTTCCATTATGGCCTCAATGCCAGCCCCTTAGACTCATGGCTCACAGCGCCCTGTTGCTTTTGCAGTGTGCTGTCAAAGCCCTGTTTGACTACAAGGCACAGCGAGACGACGAGCTCACCTTCACAAAGAATGCCATCATCCAGAACGTGGAGAAACAGGAAGGAGGCTGGTGAGTTTCCCCCATGCTGCCCCTCAGGGTGATGGAGATGTTTGGCCTTCCTGACTTGTAACTAGACACCTGCTAGAACACAACTTCCCATGTCTGCAGTCTCTGAGGGGTGCAAGGGCATGAAGACTAAACTTGCCCTTGGACTCCTGCATGTTGTCCCATCCAATCTGTGTAGTGGTACTATGCAAAGGAGGAGAATTAAGGAGTGTTGCTTCTATCACCGTGTCTCATTCCCTGGCCTGTGGGTAAAGCAAAGATGCCAGGCTCCAACACACCTCCCTAGGGCCAGAAAGCTTCCAGCAAAGCGTAGTGAATGCAGTGGAGCTTCAGGGGGGATTGGAGGGGTCTGTCGACATCCAGAGCTGTGTGTGTGCAATTTCACCACCACCACAGCCCCCTCCCCCATTCTCTTTTAATGAACTATTCGTTATCTAGCCTGCTTACACCATTATCTGCCATTTCAGTCTCCTTTGCTGGACTCCTCTGGGGGGAGCCATGGGTATTGCTCAGCCAGCAGGATTCTCACTGAAGGGGACCCAGTGTTTTGCCAACTGTGGGCATTAGAAAGTGGGACATCCATGAGGTGGAAAGTTCAAGGACTCCAATCGTTTGTGCCCATCTGCTTCTGGCCTGAGCAGAAACCACAGAAGTGCCCAGGCTGCTTCTGGGGTTGTTATTACATGTCTTGTGCCACTGGTGACTGTTCTAGGAGAGCTACAGCTTGTGTCTTTTTTTTGCAGGTGGAGAGGGGATTATGGAGGCAAGAAGCAGCTGTGGTTTCCTTCCAACTACGTGGAGGAAATAGTCAGTCCCACGGGTCTGGAGCCTGAAAGGGAGGTACGCACAAATTTGTGTGGTTTGGAGGGGCAACACAGTGAATAGAGAGAGAGGGCAGATTATGGTCTTGAGGCAAGCTGAGCTATTGTTAAGCCCAAGGGCAGTTCTCCTCTCCTAACTGCTCTCAGATGACTGTTCTAGTGTGACCTGTATAGAAACAGACTTGTTGCTGCACCAGCCTCATCTCTAACCCACTGGCCTGTGATCTTTTCTCAATAGCAGCTAGATGAGAACAGTCCCCTGGGAGACCTGCTTGGAGGTGTCCTTGATGTACCGTCCTGTCAGATAGGTAAGTGAATGTGGGGAGGGGATTGGGATCCTGGTTTCTCTTTTTTGTCCCCTGCATTGGTCCTGGAGAGACCATCGCTTGGTGTGAAGGCTCTCATCTCTCCTTCTTCCTCCTCCTCCCCTTCCAGCTGCTATCCTGTTTGTAGCTAGTCCTTTGTGGTATAGTGGTCTCTAGGCAGCAGCTCCTCTCCTGCCCCTAGGCTGCCTTCTGCCCCCTGGGTTAGAGGTGCACCAGTATATCGGTCCATATCGGATTGGCACCAATAAAAGAAAATTTGATACTGTCAGCAATTGTTTTTTTTTTGGCTGGTGTAGTCGATTAATGTCGCTGATTTAAATGCTGCGTGCATGTGAGCACCCCTGGGGGGCCCATGTCTCCACATTTGTATGCAGGGCGAGGGTGGGCAGCCCGCTGCAGGCTCAGGGCCGGGAGCTGCACTCAGGGCAGGCGGGCAGCAGCAATGCTGGGTGGAGGGGCTGGGGGCACTAAAACCACCCCAAAATTTGCCATTGCCTCCCTCACAGCGCTGCTGCCACTCACCCAGCCCCCAAGCCTGGAGCAGGCAGCCTGCCCTTACCTCGCACACAAATCTGGGGGTCATATGCCCGCCCCCCCCAGGACAAGCCACTCACAGCTTTGTTCCATGTCTCACCCTGCCCTGCCCCTGGCTGGACAGCCCCAGTTCCACTCCCTCCCTCCCCATTGGGGCCTGGATTGGCCCCCGCTCCAGACTTACCAGCTGGACGCTGCTTTCCAAGCTGCTGGGCTGCATATTTGCTGTCAGATCGGTATTGGCCATCAGTATCAGCCAAAAAAATCTTTTATCGGTGCACCCCTACCCTGGATACCAGGGGCGTCTGTCTTCTATGGGGACCTGGACTGAGCCTCGTATTTGCAGACTCTTGGAAGCAGTACAAAGGAATGTGTTGCTTCTTTTGGAGTGCTCTGAGTCTACTGCCCCAACTGTGGACATGAAGAGGCTGGCAGTCCTATCCCAGCTGCCTCTAGGTCACTGGGCCACTTCTGTCCCCAACTCCTTGCTGGCATTCTCTTCTCTGACCTTCATAAACCCTGAAGGTCAGTGAACCAGCTTCAGCTCAGGGCTGCTTTACAGGAAACCTGCCTGGTTGTGTTCTGCTGTTATCACCATTCACAGCGCAGAGGTTTTGGATACATGGGTGGTTGTGACTTTTCCTTACATTCCCTCTCCCACTATAGCCATCCGCCCTGAGGGGAAGAACAATCGGATGTTCGTCTTCTCCATCAGCATGGCCTCGGTGTTGCGCTGGTCCCTGGACGTGGCAGCTGACACGCACGAGGAACTGCTGGACTGGGTGAAGAAGATCCGAGAGGCAGCCCAGACCGCTGATGCCAGGGTGAGTCGTGGAGACCCACATCACCGAGCCTTCTTGGTGATGTCCACGCACTGCTAGAGCCAGCCACCTCAAGAGCAGCAGAGTATTTCTTATCCCCACTAGAGCCCAGGCTGGTGTTGCAGGGGTATTTGGGGGCTGGCTGACTAGCTGTGAAGCTAATGTCTTTGCAGGGATCATAGCTGGCCAGGATCCTCCTATTCTATTCAGGGAGTCACAAAGGGGGTTCTGCTCCTACCTTTTACATGAGGCTTATGATGATTGGGAAGGTCCTGGTGGACCTGCTGCAGTGAGCAGCAAGATAAGACAAAGCACTCCCTAAAGAGGGGAAGGGAAGAGGAGGATGGAGAAAAGGTCATGGTTTTCCTGCCCTCCCTTTTCAGTCCAAGGATGGATATACTTCCCCGATGTGCTGGGGATGTTCCCTGCAATATGGGCTGGAGGTGGGAGGAAGGTAGTAGCAGAGGTTGAAGTGGGAATTGCAGACATCACTGAGGGGTTAGCTCCACTGAAGGTCATGATAATCTGCACTTCTAAGTCTGTTCCGAGAACACTTGAAAACTTTGCCATAAAAACCTCTCCAGACCAAGCCTCCAGCTCAGTTCAGTGCTGCCACTGATATTTTCTAGTGCAGTGCTGAGTCTGCGGCTGCTGTGGCTAGTGAGCTGTTGACCTGTGATTGCCAGTGTGGCTGCTGGAACAGCACTCCCTCTGAGAGTATTTGGCCTGATGCCTTTTCTTTTGTCTTCTGGCAGCTCTCGGAAGGGAAGATGATGGAAAGGAGGAAGAAGATTGCCCTGGAGCTGTCAGAGCTTGTCGTCTATTGCCGGCCTGTGCCCTTTGATGAAGAGAGTAAGCACAAGGTCCTGGAATGAAGTGCCAGGCTCCATGTGTGTTTATAAGCACCCACAAATGTGCCATACCTGTCCTGACTGTGACCATCACAGATGGGCCAGTCCTGCTGAGTTTTAAGTCCAGTTTGGCTTTTGTATAACGGGGGCCCAATATAAGCGCAACTCTTAAGACCTCAGCCCCCAGAAAATGGACATCTCCCACATGTGGCTCCTGGGGACAGCTTTCAGCCACTTGCCCTAGGACTGTGGCCTAGAAGCAAAGCAGCTGCTGGAGGGATTGGACCTGGGCATCCACGTTGAGTGGAGTTTGGCAAAGCCACCTGGGGAGGGGTGGGGGGAGAGGAGGTACCTAGATGCCCTTGATAGGAATGGTGACCCTGGCAATTTCATCCATCTTCCCCCAGCATGCTGCTCCTGGGCAGTCCTGAGAGGGAGCAGATGGAGGGCACTGCAGGCCTGGATAGAAATGCACAGAAACACTTCGCATACTAACGTTGACCTAGTTTTTGATGGGAAGGAGGCGATGGCTGGGATGGAATGATTATGGTCACAGGCGTTGCGAGTGCAGGTGAAGAAACACCAGGAGAGGCCCAGCTTGGGCATGGCTTGGACTTGGGTTTGGAGGCCACTTTTCCTTCCTAGACTGCTAGGATATTTGGCACAGGCCTCTCCACTGTGTGACTAGCAGAGTTCCCTGGCAGCCAGGGAGGGGGTTGAAAGCTCTGGTGGCTTCTTGCTTCCTTCAACTGCCTGGAGGTGGGAGGGGCTCACCCAGCTTCAGTCAGGAAGATGGAGCTCCTGTGTAAGCAGCTGTCCCTTTCTCCCTCCAGAGATTGGCACAGAAAGGGCCTGTTACAGGGACATGTCCTCCTTCCCCGAGACCAAGGCAGAGAAGTATGTCAACAAGATCAAAGGCAAGAAGTTCCTACAGTACAACCGACTGCAGCTCTCCCGCATCTACCCCAAGGGCCAGCGCCTTGACTCCTCCAACTATGACCCCTTGCCCATGTGGATCTGCGGCAGTCAGCTGGTGGCACTCAACTTCCAGACCCCAGGTGAGAGCTGCTTCTATCAGTGTGGAGATGGGGGTGGCATGGCTTTATCTCCAGCACCAGGAGTCGCCTGTAGTTGCTGACTGGTCAGCAAACGGTTGCGACTCCCGTGGCTCTGTCTGTCTAGGGAGCACAGAATACATTTTCAGGGAACATCCCCCTCTATGGTAGCACTGCAGCCCTTTGTTCCATTCGAGGTGCCGTATAACTGGGGAGACACCAGTCTGGTTCCTGGGAGATGGAATGATCTAAGGATTGTGGAGCAATAACAGGGAGTGGAAGCCTGTATATATTTATGGGGGAGGGATTCTACAGGAGGAGATCCCTGGCTGCAAGTGAGAAATGCCCAATCTGAACAGCTTAAGATGCATCAAGCCATGGAAGGGAAGCAGCAAATAGCCCTATGGCTTGGGACACAGAAACATGAACTGATGCATCAGACAGTGCCCTGAAGGGAAGGAGCCTGCTATAGTGAAGTATCAACTGCTCCTATAACTCCATCCCATCTCCAGCTTCTCTGATGTGAACAGGCAGTGGACACAGCACTGCTGTTTTAGGAGGAGTTTAGCCCAGCTTAGAAATACAGCTCAGATCATTCTGGATGGTGGGGCTGGCAGAGGATACAGGGCAGAGGATTTGTAATATGTTGTAGCCCTTATGTTTTCTCCTTTTCCCAGACAAGCCCATGCAGATGAACCAGGCTCTGTTCATGTCCAGTGGCCAATGTGGGTACGTGTTGCAGCCGCCTAACATGAGGGACGATCTCTTTGACCCCTTTGACAAAAGCACACTGCGCGGGGTGGAGCTGATCTCAGTCTCCATTGAGGTTAGTGCTGGCCTGCTCTCTGACTACTGCTTGGTTACCTGTTCCCCTTGCAAAGACTGGCTGTCCCTCTCTGGATACCTGGGTCCTGCCATCCCCTATCTTGTCTCCATAAAACCCTGCTGCTGGATGACTGAGGTCTTTCTGGGTGGCAAGAGAAGGGATGGATGCATTCAACACTTTTAATCCTACTACTTGTCACTGGTAGTGGTATACTAATGTGACATTCTTAGGGAATGAACCTTTAGCTTGGCCTTGCAGGGCTCTGTGTGGGATTTTGACCTGCAGCCACAGCTGGTGTCCACTGCCCCCCACCCCAAAGAGGTATTGGCCTTTGTTTATAAAGTAACCCTATGGTGCTGTGAGTTAAGCATCTGGCATGAATGGGAATTTCTAGCACTTCAGACCCTGGAAAGTGCATCTAGGATGCAATTAGAGCTGAATTACCCGGAGTGCCTTGTATGAAAAAGTTACAAAAGCAGGAAAGTGCAGTGGTGCTGTACACTCTTCCCAGCAGTGTATGAGCCACCCCAGAACTGGCAGTTTTCCTGTACTGGGAATACCTCTGGGTGGACAAAAAAATCCTGCCATGCTGATGTATGTAGCTAGTCTTGGAAGCCTCTTTCTGTTCAGCCTGAGCTCCCAGCTTGCAGTCCTAGAGCTGGGCTGGGTGGCAGAGAGTTAAGCAGGAGTCTGCCATGCCTGGTCTGCCTACTGTCTGCCTTGCACCATAATGCTGTGCACTGCTTGAGCCCTGGGCCTGCTGCACAGCAAATGTGCTCTGCCTTTAGCCACTTGAGGAAGCAGTTTGCCTGGGATCGGCAGAGTCTGTACAGGGCTCACAATGTGTTTGGATGAAGAGGGCAATGTAACTGTGACCTCCTTGCCACAAAGCACTGGAAGGTGTGTTCAGAAGAAACAAACAGGGTTCCTGTCAGAAGTCAGGAAAAGCAGCTTCCTTTAGAGCAACTTGAATATTAGGCTTTCATTCAGGCAGGACAAGGCACTAAGAGAGAACACTGTCCTCCCAGAGGCCAGCTGGGAGGTTGTCACTTGGTCTTTCTTGACAAGCCTTTTTCCTAGCCCTGCTCCTGACTGCACAGTTTGGATCTGGGCATTGGCGTTTTTGAGTCACGGAGCAACCCAGGTACATTATGGTGCTCCAAGTAATGCAAAGAATCTGCTTTTGAGACAGGACAGGAGAAATGACCCTGACTGCAGTGGGAGGAGTGGAGGAGAAAAATGACCCTGTGGAAACTTCTGTTGCCAGAAGGTGGTGCTCTCAAGCCTCGGATTTATCTTTCCTCAGCTGATCCTTGTGAAATAGAGCAGACGAGTTGCGGTTCTATTGCTAGTGTGATCCTGGCTCCCAGAGCTGGTGAGAGAGAAGGAAACAAAATGCAGTGTCTTTTCACTAAAGAGGTTCTTTCACCAGAGGCTCGTTAGCATGGATTTAGAAACGCAACAATCCCTTGCTCCAGGCCTGCAAAAATGAGATGTGTAGTGAAATGTATAGAGAACCAGACAGGTCAGTGCTCCCAAATTAGACCTTTCCCAAGTCACCCAAGCGCTCCTCTCTTCCCCATCGCTCCTGAGTGCTCCTCCTATGCACCGGCACCCTGTGAGAATCTGGAAAAATAGGCTGGCTTTGTAGCTTGTTTTGAAGGTCATTAAATCTGATCTGTATGAGATCAAGGGGAGAAGAACAAAGCTTGGCTGATCTTGGAGGGGGAAACAGTAGCTTCACAGCCAGCAGGGAATCCAGGGACTTGGAGCCAAATCCCAGCTGCCTTCCATAAACTGTTGCAGTAACCTGCCCTCATGGTTCTAACATCCGGGGTGTAAGTTTGGCCCCATTCAAGTGAATGGAAGTTTCTGCTAGTGGTTTCACTGGGATAGGACTTCACCCTGCCTCTGTAGCACAGTGAACTCTCCTGCCAGCACAGTGATTTTTTTTTTTTTCCTTTCTCCTTTCCCTTACTATGTATTCCTCTCTAGGTCCTTGGTGCACGACATCTTCCCAAAAACGGGCGGGGGATTGTTTGCCCCTTTGTGGAGATTGAGGTTTCTGGAGCAGAGTATGACAATGTGAAACAGAAGACTGAGATTGTGGGTGAGTAACTTTAGCCACAGACTTAAAAAAAATCTTCGATGCAACTTGTCTCTGCAAACCAGGCTTCTCCTCTTGTAACATGGCTCACCCCACTGGCAAACTGCATTCCTTCCCACTCACTATTGCAGCTTGCCTTTTCATCAGCTCTAGGAAGGTGGATCTGTGTAAGCGGGGATGGGTGTGTTCTTAAATCAAGTTAGCTAATGCTGGGGCAAATCTCAGTTAATGAGGCAGTCATTTTTGCATGAGTTAAATCCAGAAAACCACGAGTCTTTCCCATAGCCTTTTATTTCAAACTGCTAATGGAAGCTACGGGCTGCCTTGTATATGATAGGCTTGTGCCACATGTTGGCTAATGCCTTTTTTTTAACAAGTGAAGCAAGACCTTGGATTCCCTCTTTACTGCTGTTGTTACCATTGAACCTGCCTTCATGGGCCCAGAAAGAGGCTTGGAAAAGTTCCTTCTCCAGGTGAACACCAACCTTGAACACTGTCAGTGTTGTTTGATATAGTGAAGATCGTTGCTTCTGCCACAGATAAATAGAAGCAATCCTGAGCAAAGCCGGGGCCACGTTCTACTACTTCATTTCACAGGCCCAATACTAAAAAAAGAGACAGTTACCTTTAAAAAGTGCATTTCCACCTGCAGTCACACCACAGCTGCTGTAGAGACTATACAGGCTACCTAAACCCAGGTCCTCTCTTGCTTTGGGGTCTTTCCTTATGTAGTTGACTGGCCACAGAATGCTGGCACTTCTCCAGTTTCCCATCGGCAGAGCAGAAAGTCCTTATCCATATTTTTAAAGGGGTTTCTCTTCATTCTGGGAAGGCTACTGAACATAAGACCCTGGATGCTTATATTTTGAAAGGGGTCATGTCAAAGACTTCAGTTGGGATAACTGTGCCAAACTGCATGCCTTTTGTGTCAGGAAGGAAGAATCAAGAATTCTTCCCCATTCCAATGCATGCTGGGCCAGTGGGAGACGGGTTCACTTGTGATACCAGCAAATACTGAGCTAAGTGGGGGATCATATGGTAGCTAGACTCAGATAATCTGACTGGCACCAAGGCACAGTGGCAGATTTTTTAATTTGGTATCGAGGCATCTGGATTCTCCTCCCTCTTCTGCCATAGGCTTGGAGTGTAAAGTGAAGCAAATCATTTACACACTCCATATCTCAGCTTCCCCCTTCTGTAAGGGAAGAGCTTGTAATGTCCCACTCCCTGACCAAGTGGACTGTGCAGATGAATGGATTATTTTATCAAAATCCTCATCCTTGTTGCTAGTCGGTGTCTTTTTTTACATGTCCTTTCAGAGTGGTGTGGATTATTTTTCAATTTTGGATGGACTGTCTCTTGAATACCTGAAGTTTTCTGCTAGAGCCTAAAAAGGAAGCTGGGGTACAGTGTGTCTACAGACAGTCTTATTCAGACCTGGCTCTTGGCAACACCATGAGAAATGAGACAATGGGTGGTCAAGGGGTGAATAAGTCATCATGGGGATTTTGGGTTTGCTTTATTTCTACATCCTCAGTAGTTCACAAAGTGACAACAGCTGAAGCAACCAACTTTTTGTCAATGGTGCAGTTGTAGGCAGGACTGGACAAATACAGAACAAAAAACTCCAAGCATATGGACGATTGTTGTTAGATCTGAATGTGCCAAAGGGCTCAAGATTTCAGAGAGGGGACCAGCATCCCACTATGACTCAGTCCTTTCAGTACAAAGCATGGGCCAAACTCCTACCACTTATTTTGAGAAAAGAAGTGGGGAGGAGCAGTAGGAAGGCAACCTGAATGTTGGGCTAGGTTCTGACTGATTGACTCTTTCTAAATAGCGGATAATGGCCTGAACCCAGTCTGGACCCAGAAGCTGTTCAACTTCCAGATCAGCAACCCTGAATTTGCCTTCCTGCGCTTTGTAGTGTATGAGGAGGACATGTTCAGTGATGAGAACTTCTTGGCTCAGGCTACTTTCCTAGTGAAAGGCCTGAAGACAGGTAAAGCTCTTGGAGCATGTACTTTCATGAGATGGGGCTTTCCTGTGTTGCACTGAGTGGAGCAGGGAGCATGGGAACACTGCAGAAAGCTGCGCTTGCCAAACTGGTGCCAGAGCCACTCTCATCTTTCCTGTTGCTTATCAGTCCCTAGAGACATTCTGGAGACATGTGGTGGTTCTTGCCCCAAGTCCATCCTCTTGCCATCCTAATGAATGGAGAACCCTGTTCCTGGTGCATTTTGCTGTAGCATCCAAGCTCTGCCACATCACTGGGGTTCTGCCTGTATGTGGCTTGCAACCTACAGACTAAACCTTTCTCTCATTGCATTCCAGACACAAAACCAGGCATGCTCCACTCCCCTTGTTAATAGTGATCCCTTCAACCTTTTGGGTGCTTAAATGATTATTTGATTTCTGGGGGAGGGGAGGGCAGTGCATGGCCTCAGCTTAGCACTGAGCTCATGGTTTGTTGCAACAAGCCTGGCTTGTACATGCAACAAGCCTGACTTATTGTTATTTGTTACAACAAGCCCTCATAACTGGGTTGGATCACAGTCCCTTCTTCCTTTAAGAAAATCTATAAAATTCATTTCTCTGCAACAAAGCATCTGTCTTGGTGTAACGTACACAGAAGTTGTTCCAGCTTCTTTGCCCAGGGAGGATGGAGGATGAGGTGTTGGCTTAAGGAGGCATGTTTCAGGGCTGATATGTGTTAACTATATAGGAGGGCACCTGTAGACTTGGGGCTCCACCTGCATGGTGCATTGCCCCTCACTAGCTGGTCCCTGGTTTGTGCTTCCTTTAGTAACAGTGGTGGTCTCTTTGTACCAGGGTACAGAGCTGTGCCTCTGAAGAATAACTACAGCGAGAGCCTGGAGCTAGCTTCTCTACTTGTTAAAATAGAGATTTTCCCTGGCAAGGTAAGATTTTAAAGTTAACACACTACAACCCAGTAAAGCTAAGAGAGTCATCTGGGCTAGCCAGCCCTTGAAATCTCAGTTTGCCTATGGATTCAGATTTGTAATTTACTGGTAGGCTGATGAGGAAACCAGTGTGATTTCATATTTGCAGTCATTTGACCTGGGCCACATTTCCTCTGATCAGATCTTGCATCTAAGCAAGGCTTAGTCTGGTCAGTACTTCGGGTGTGACCTGCATGGACCAGCTGGGTGCTCCAAGAAGCTGGGTGGATATTCCTGTAGGTGGCACTCCTGGCTCTAGGACCTAGTGGTGATTTTGGAGGCCTGCGAACACCCACCTGTACTCTGCTCAGCTTTCCAGCCAGTCCTTCAGTTCATAGGGCTCCTTACTTTAAACTAAACCTGCCCTCTGACTAGCTGTGGTTCTAGCTTCTTGTTCCAAGGGTGATTTTTCTAGACCAGTTTCTTCAGGAGTGAGGATGGCCAGCCAGCTCCATCAAGCTGGTTCATGTAAAACTTTCCCCAAAGCCAGATGCAACTGATAGCTCTTAAATAGGAAGAGATGGAGAGATTCAGTACACAACTGCATGTGCATTAGCACCCCAAGACAGTACATTGTAGCACAGAAGCACACGAAGTAGCTGTACAAAATGCTGACCCTACTGTATGCGTTAGAAAGTTTAAGCACTCCTTTCTACTTGTTTCTGATTCCAGCAGGAGAATGGTGAAATTAACCCCTTTGGTGCTTCAGTGCTTCGGGAACGATCAGGAGACTCTTCAAGCCAGCTCTTAGCACAGCGTGCCCGGGAAGGGTCTTTTGATTCCCGTTACCAACAGCCATTTGAGGACTTCCGGGTGTCACAGGAGCAGCTGACGGACCATTTTGACAGCCGGGACCGAAGGTACCATGCATGGAGTTATGGCATGAAGCTTGCTCATTCTGCCCTAACCTCATGAACTCCATAGCAAAAAGACTTGTCTCTTGTAATGTGACCAGACATGACCTGCTACCCCAGCGTTGTAATTGCATGGTTTCCATTTTGTAGCTGCCAGTTCTCCTAATAGCCTCTGTCAGTGTCTGATATAAGTGCCCTCGCCTCAATTGCCCTTCTTGAAAGCCAGCAAGAGGCCTGGGAGAGTCGGTGAGGTTTGTAGCAGCAGGGCTAAGGCCCCTGCCAGCCTGCCGTTCAGAGGGAGGTACCGTGTCAAAGGGTGAGACCCTCGCACTTAAAGCAGCCTGTGCTCACTGCCCTGAGGCTTCAAGAACATGTGACCCCCTCCCCAGGACTTTTCCATGCACCTTGCTAATGAGCAAGCATGCAGACTAAGACATCCCTAGTAGGAGGAACCCAGTGGCCACACTTCTCCCACTCCCTGGACTAGACCTGAGTTGCATCCCAGTGGAAAGCTCTGACAGCCATTTTGCACTGTTCCTGCTGGCTGCCCGGCCAGCTCCCCCGGCTTGGGTTAGAAGCTGTGTACGATTGCCTGTGAAGGTCCCAGCAAGACTTCATCTCAACCCCTCCCTGCTTCCCCCCTGCAGGGTACTGCGAAGAACCAGGGTGAATGGGGATAACCGGCTCTAGCCCAACTTCGCCTGCCGAAAAGCACCTCCAGTGCTTGTGATTATCACGGAACGCTGTGAACTGGTTTCTATGGAAACGGCACTGCTTTGGCCTACTTTCAGGCAGCTTTTCCAGTTTCTCTGCTGAAGTGTGTTCAAGTGGAGAAATAAAAAACAAAACAAAAAACACCCACCCACCAACCTTCCCCCACCAAGCTCTTAATGAAATGTATTACTGTGTATAGCCTGTCAGCCACCAAGGTGGGAGACGCAACTGTCTGCAGTCAAACCCTCCCTCCCTCCAACCCCCTTTGACCTCCTTTTAAGTGAGAAATCCCGATCCCAGCTCCGCTCAGAAGAGCGGCTGCGGGGAGCCGTTTACAGAATGAACTTGCTGTAAGCGTTTTCCACTACCTTCGTGACCAGCCTGCGGGGGGGCGTATGTCAGTCTTGTTGGCGATGCATCAAAGTACCTGTATAGCCAACTGCCGTCTGGGTACCGTAGTAAAACTCAAAGTTTACAAGGCTTCTCTAAGCTTTGAAAATGACAATAAAAGTGTCAGTATTAAGCGTGTAACCACGTCTCAGCTTTCTGGAGCCTTGCCCTCATGGTGGGGCTCTGCCGTTTCTAAAAAGCACGGCCCTGCGCTTGGGCTGGCCACAACTTGCATGCCGCTCCAGCAGATAAGTAGCTGTGGCTTTTGCATGCACAGTGGCACCTTCAGGCAGATCCTGGAGCTCTCCTTGCCTGTATGAGAGGTTTGGACAAGAAGGATTGAAGTGCCTTGGATTTTTTTTTCTTTTGCATCTGAAACTGCTCGTAAAGGGTATAGAAAGAGAGCAGGAAGACTGCATGAGTACTCTAACTCATCCTACAGGAAGAAAATGCCACTAAGGGCCATTGCTTAAAAGTTCTCCTGAGCTAAATTCAGATGTCGGCAGTGAGTGCAGCTTTCTTGAGGTTCACTCTGGTTCTTTCTACTCTTGCAGCTATAAAAGGCTGATGAAACTGAGGTAGCTGTTCTTTAAGTGTAAACTTAAAACGCTTACAGCTTTGTAAATGTCACCTTGGCTGCTAGCTTTTCCAGCTGAATAAGACCAGTTGCTAACATCTGTTTTTTGGGGGGGGAGTAGTCACAGGGTAACAAATAGATGAGGCCCAACACTTTATACCTCCTCACTCAAGGAGGCTGTGACAACAGCGGGCCAGTTTTTGCATGAAGTGCACCGACCAATCCTTCTGCAAAGAAGTAGAGCTGCAGGATAGATGATTTGGTGTCATGTTCCTCTAGGACTAACCCATTTTTCAGGCACCAGCTAGGCCTCCAAAAAACAACCCTTTTATCCAGTGGGGTAGAAAGAACAAAACCATCTCTTCCAAGGCCTGTAGCATAAGCTCCATTGTAGCACGCGACTACATTGTCTGCTCTTAGCTGGTATTACCTGGGACTATGTGTACAGTAGGAGAAGGTGATATATATCAGCCAGCCTATAAAGAGAGGCTGGCTTTAGGGAAGATGTAGTAGCATCATAGGCTAGCCAAGATCTATCCTGCTGGGCCTCCCTGCATATTATTTTTTTGCTACATCTTTACTACAACCAAAGCATTTTTATTCTGCTATGCTATAATCACAGTCTTACTGAAGTGAAGGCCTTCTCAGGGTCTGTCTACACTATAGTCTACAGACTACTTTCTACTTGCTGTGGGTTAGATGTGGCAACACCTAAAGGCCTCACTGCAAAACACAAACCTCTGTTTGTCTTGTGCAAGTGGGGCCAAATGGGAGGGTACTGAGGCACTATCTTCTAATAGTAGAAGTGTCCACAGTGGAGACAATACTAAACAGGCTGAGAACTTGGAAAAGAACGATCTCCTCAGAAGTAAAACAGCTGCCTCTCTAAATTTTCATGGAATTACTATTAAACAGTTAACTCAGAAAACGTTCAAGATTCCTACTTCTTATTTGAGTTTCAATAGGCAACAGTAAAGGTTCAGCAAAGTTAAAATGAACACTATTACCTTGGGCTTGATTGAAGGCAAAAAGACACCCTGGACACCCAGAAGGGCCTTTGAGGAAGATGGATCTTGCAAAGCCAGGAGCAGAACAGAATTCCCTCCAGCAGCTTGTTGTTTTCCAGTAATGAAAGGGGATGCAGGAGCTGAGCAGCCCTTGAGCATAACACAGTGTGTTCCCAGGAGGTCATCACTTCCATTTAAATCTATGCAAGATGGCCCAGTTGGGTCTAGTTGAATTGCTGTTGGGCTCTAGGCACTGCCAATTTGTATTTGCACACTCCAGTAGGTATGCTGCACTCCAGGCCAGAGCCCGTTCCACTGTGGGGGTGGTAAAGTCTGAACTCAAGACTACATGGACACTGTTGTGTACAACACTCCAAGACACCAGTTAGAATTTAGATGTACAAATCTGGGCAATTCAG